TTTGTGATTTGATGTTTTCCCTTTTCCACCTGCATCCATTATACTCCACTCGGCTTTTTCCTAAGGCGCATACAACACGTGTTTTCCCTTTTTCATACACGAAATATGTTCAATCCTATGCTTAGCTCCATGAGTTCACACCTATGATTGATATGCTCCTTTAGCATTTTGAGGGACGGGCTTGGAAGAATCTGTCTTGTGTCTCTTGGTCTGTTATCATGCTTCATTCATTAGGTCTCTTAGAATTTGCTGCTTTCATCTGACTGATTAGCTGAGCTCCTAGTGCTAGGTAATATATTTGCCCTTGGATTATACTGACATTTGCATACACTATCAAGTTCATGCATGAGATATCAATTCACACATATACTATACAGATGAGACAAAAGAAAAGGAATCAAACATTCTATTCCAAGTCAATATTCCATATCTGTTAGCTTCTGCTCAGAGCTTATTATTGCCTCACTTTTCTCATGAAATTCAGATTAGTTTATAGTATCCAAGCTTATCTTTGTCTGTTTCTCTGTAATCCAGCTATATTAGATAACAAGATTTGATTAATTGACAGGTTGTTGCAGAAGAGAAGTTCAAGGCCTGCAGTGCAGCATATCAATGTTTGTGTGATAAACTGGGATTAAGTCAATAATGGAGCAGATAGTGACACATCCTAGATTATTGGATGATGATTACTCAATTACTGAGTCTCCAAGAGGACATGAGATATACTAACCTATATCATCAATAAAAGAGGCCCTTTAATTGTATTTGAAATGGTAATTACACAAATAGGAAGCTATGTCAAATTAGATTATTTGGAAGCATTCACTAAGTGTTTGTAGGAGAGTTATTTTGTTACCCTGATATATTTTGGTTGGGCTTTGTCCCTTATTTGGGATAATTTTAGAGACATTCTCTAGGTTTAAATTGGTAACACTGACTTCCTTTGTGATTTATAATAGCACATTTATCTTTTTATTGTCTTTTTGTAACCATTATTAACTTATTTACTATGATTTTTTTATTTATAATTTGACTATTTTACCCTTTCTAGTATTCTACTTTTAAAATTAATTAATTTTGTCAAAATATCTTATTTAATATTTTTCAAGAATAAAAGAATGACAAAAGGCACAGATAATGGCTCGAGGCAATGAGAAATTTTATTTTGTGAGTTACATTAACAAGATAACTTATATGAGTTTAGTTTATTATTTGACAAGTGGATACATCGGTCTCACAAATTTGTTTTTAAAGTAAAGTAGAAAATAGTAATATTAAAATCTACATTTTTCCTAATTAGAATGCACAATAAAAGGAAATTAAAATGTGAAAAGATATTTATATCAATGGCATTCTATCAAAATGGGTTAAATTGGAACTTTTAGTTGCTGCAATTGCAAACTCTCAGCTTTCATCATAAGTTCTTAATTGAAGTCCTTACATCTAGGATGCCAATTTAATTTTAAAATACAAACATTTTCTACAACAACAAAAAAAAATGTATCCACATTTAATATTCATGTCAAATCAATAGTTTTGTAATATATCTTTGTAAATAAGCCTTTTACACGTAATCATGATTAATTAACATGTAATTTCACATTATCTCAGTTTCTTAGGCACGTAAGGAACCGGTTTAACATTTTCTCAATTAAAATCTCAATTATAAACAAGTTTTACACAGACTAGGATATTTTTGAAATTTTAAGTGACATGATTCCTTCTTCAAAAGTTAAATCAATAATCGATTCACTGAAGAATAATCCTAATATGCAAGAACTCTAATTAAAATTATAATGAAAGCAAAGACTTTGCAGTGTTGAGATCTTTTCACATTTTATTATGCATTCTAATTAGGAAAAATTCAGATTTTTAATATTATTTTTTCCTTTATTTTTAAAAACAAATTTGTTGGATCCATGAATCCAATTGTCAAATAATAAACATAAGTAATGTTTGTTATTCAACTCACAAAGTACCACTAATACACATCTAATATATGTGTTATTTCTTTTAATACACTCTAGCATACGACCCCTTAAAATATACGATTACTGACATGCAATGAATACCCATTCTTACATTACTCCTCAGCATACACTAAACTCAATAAGAATTGCAGAAGATCAAACATGAACAATTAAATTGTGATGTCATTTGAGTGCGTAGAAAATAAAAAAGGTTTTGACTATTACAAGAGAATCCAATTTAAAGAGGTACTAATATTACAAGAGAAACCAATTTAACAGAAATGATTGAAGTGAGTTTAGACAAATTATATATTCTTAAACCTCCAAACACATCAAATGTAAGTACACCTTTTTTTTCCCCAAAATCTTGTTCGTAAACCTTGAATCCTTCCTGTAATCACATAGAAATTTTAAGTATCAAAGCTTTGAAACAACAAAAATACAGGGAGAGAGACAAGAAAATGAAACAAGTCTTTTGGAACTGTTCAAACCCACAAATTAAAAGAAGAAAATTACTCTATATTGTCGTGAAGTTTCTTACAAACCACATTACTTTCAGAAAAGAAAAACACAAGGAAAAGATTAATGACATGAAAACATTAAGGCGAGCTTCCACGTAAAATGATTCTGGATAGTTGAACACAATAATAAAAACTTCCACCCATTACAATATTACTAAAGGGAAGAATTACCGAGACGGGACAAGGAAGAGGAGGTGTAATTTAAAGGAATTCATTAATAGAGATGTTGTGGGCTATGAAATATAGTGACTCATGATATATTAGAGAACATTAGTTAATACAAGGGATCAGTGGGAATACACAAATGGAGTCATCATCAATCTCAAATCATCTCGAAATACCTCCAAAATTGATATTCAACTTCCTTTCCAACTAAACTCAATCGAGACAAAATAACAAACAAGAAATCACAAAAATTCGAACCAAGCTTTAATGATGCTTTCAGTCTTCATTTTTGATGTACTGATGTAGAACCACAAAAAATGAAATATTATTCAACCTGACAATGAAATCACTGAAAAACTGAAAATTAAAGGGAAATTGGCAAATATAACACGAAATGAAAAAACTAATCAACATTTCTCAGTCGAAAAAGGAAGTAGAGAGATTTGGAAGAAAAATATTGAAAGATTTTGGCTGAAAACAGTAAGGAGTTTTCTTCTCAGAAATGGAAACACTGTACAAATCTGATTCAGAAGCCATGGAATGTGAATGTAAAATCTTAATTACACAAAATAGTATGTCGGATAAGAAAAATTTTGAGAGAGTTTAGGAGTCTTCTTCTCAGAATTGGAATCAACATGTTCAGTTTCTTTTTCCCTAATTATCGGAACTTGAAAAAGAAACAACTGGTACCTCTAGATTTTTTCGGTTATGAGATACTCCCTCCATCCCAATTTTATGTGACACCATTTGACCAAACACAAAGTTTAAGAAAAAAATAAAAAACTTTTGAAATTTGTGGTCTAAAACAAACCTTAGATAAATCATTTCATTAAGGATAGAAGGAGAATTTTAAAGTTAAACTGTTTCTAATTATAGAAAAATGAGATTCTTTTTGGGCCAAACTAAAAGAGAAAGTGTGCCACATAAATTGAGACGGAGTTGGAACAAATTTTGTAGCCTGAAATGTGGGTATGGTTTTCTTATGCTATAATAGTACCAAATTTCCTTTTATGTCTTTCTTGGGCAGATTATGAATTTTATAATCCATCAAAATTCCTTTTGTGATTTGTCATTTCTAACATGTTTTGGTTTGGATGTTGGGCGCCAATCACAACACTGGTGATTTGGGTGGTGACACTTGTTCTAACTAACATTGTGAATCAACCAGTCCATAAACCTCCATCATATCATCGTTTAACAATGGCAGAAGAAGGGAAAGGAAACTTAATTTTTTGGACTTAGTTTACTCCCTGCTCAAAGCCTTCCATAGCACTCTCTTTTGGATGCATGCCATCAACGAAACTACTTCATCAAATACACTCTCATATACTGATATGGACAACCACAGCATGGTGGAATATTGCTACTTTAGGAGATGAAGAGTGTCAACTTTGAGCTTCTCTCTTCTCGTAATTGGTAAGAGCCATGTCATTCTATACTATCACTCTCAGTAGCATTTCTTGTTTAAATTTCCATTAAACATGCTTCCAACTTCACCACTTACTATTCTCAGCATAAAATGAACTAGATTAGTATTTATACCAGATATAGCTATAAATTTAACCAATCATATACTCAACTACTTCCATTTTGTGATGCATTTTAATTAGGTATGGAGTTTAAGTCAGAGAGATAGACTTTTCAAATTTGTTCTCTAACAAAAGTCATAGATATTTGTGTGGCTATAAATCATTTCAATGAAGGTAAAATGGAAAATTTAAAGTTGAAATTATTTCTAAATATTAAAAAGTATCTTTCTTTTTTAGAAAAAACTAAAAAAGGGAAGTGAATCGCATAAATTGGGACTGAGTAATTCGTTGCATTTATAGAACATCCAACAAGAAAATTCTTATTACTTTCTAGAAGCAGGCAACAATAAGAGGTGCACCATCTCTCTCCTCTCACCCTCATCCATGAGTCCATACTTCTCCTTTTCATTTCTTCTCTTTTTTAAGCTTCCTCTTCCTCTCCTTCTCACTTATGATTAAGTTTATCTATTTATTTTTTTCATATTTTTGTTTAGTTTCCTCTATTGTTCAACCTTCCATGCACCTATCACTGGTCAAGCCACTTCCCAGGATCCTAACTTGCATAAATTTCCTACATGAGCTTTCAAGTGCCTTGAGAAACATCACCAGGTATTTGCAATTTCAATAACATGGATGAGATGAAGGTCCTTGCAGGATGAAGGAAGGAGAAGAATATCAAACAACAACAGGGAGTTCAAGGAAACCAAAATCAGGACGCAAAATCCAATGAAGTGCTGTTTAACAATATCAAGAAACAGAAATACACTTATATGGCAACTTTTAGCTGAAATATACACCCTTTTGGCCATTACTTTGTACCTTGCTATTATGAGTGGATTTGAGTGGCAAAGCTGAGCATATGGCACTCAAGGTTTCTGATATTCAACTGCAGTAACAGAAAAGATAAGCTCATATGATTCTTATTCAAAGGAGTAAAATGAAAAGAAAAAGGAAATCAAGCTTAGCATTATTGTAGAAAGGAATGTCATAAGAAAAGATCTTCTGACCACCACATCTAACATGATCAAAACAAAAAAAAAGGAAAACCAAATGTACTCTTTCTGTTTCAAATTATATGTCTTTCTTTTCTGCCTGTTTCAAAAACAAAAAAATAAATCTATATTTCGTAAGGTCTAAATTTCAACTTTGTTTTTTACCTTTAATAACACTTTCATATAGGAAATGATAGATTCATGAAGAAGAAAAGCTTCTTTGTATTTCTTGATATTTTTTTACATCTCATAAGAATGGATTCCTATACAAAGTCCTAAGATTAAATAAGAAAAGGTAACATTCCACAATCAATAACATTTAATTACAATATCAATCTACTACTATAATTAAGCTGGGGAATCGCTAATCAATCAATCAACATCATGGTACATTTTAGACCGTAACATTTAAAGGGTAGTTCTGGTATGTTATACACACCTTTAGTTTAAGACCACAAGATTCAAAAACATTCTTTACAATCTTAAATTTCATGCAGTCAAACTAGGACATCTAAAATAAAATGGTGGAACTATTATCTTAGAAGGATCTCATGCTCATGTTTTAATCAAAGTGTCTTCGTTGTGACAGGGCCAAGCATTACCCAAAAAGGGACAAAATGAGAGAAACTCATAAGATATAATCCACATCCAAATTTACTTATTTTACTTGACAAGTACACAAACAACAACAGAAATTTGATACGTCTATTTTATATAGAAATTTGGATACCCAAACTTAGTTTAAATGCTTGATTTGTCAGCTACTCTTATGTCATTTGGTGTGTTTAATCTTGTTCTATGGTTTCAGAGGCATTGGAGCTTAAATAGACTTAAAAACAATCAATTCTGGCTCAAAAGTGGCCAAGTGCAAAAGAATTTAAAATGCAAACATTGTGCGTATGGGGAAGTCTAGTCTCCCATGCAAACACCGACGATCTTGAGATTCAGAGAGGTAGTCTGAAGTTCTGGTAATGTGGGAGTTTGTGTCCTTGGTTTCTGATGCACCACAAAAATTCGAAGAGCTTAATCATTTCACTTTTGATAGTGTTTGCTGCAAAAGTCCATTTTCCAGCACATGTATAGAACTTCATAGAGGTGATATTCCAACTACTGCAAATGCATGTGGTGACTACCTATGTATGTTGGGTAGGGGTAGAGCAATGGGGCCAGACGAGATCAAGGTGGAATTTTGGGAGAGCGCATGCAGGGCAGGTATTTAGTGGTCAATGTTGTTTTCAAGACGGCGAAGATACCTAAAGCATGGAGATGGAGTAAAATGATTTGTCGTTCAAGAACAAGAGTGACATTCAGAATTGTAACAACTATAGGAGTATCAAGCTACAAAGCCACACTATAAAGGTGTGTGAGAGGGTGGTAAAGATGACGGTGAGGAGGAGGGGTGACTATTTCCGAGAACCAGTTTGGATTCATGTCGAGGCGCTCAACTATAGAAGTCATTTATCTCGCAAGGACCGGTGGATGAGTACAGAGAGAGGAAGGACTTACACATGGTATTCATTGACCTATGAAAGGCTTACAACAAAGTCCTAGGGAGGTTCTTTGGAGGTGGTTGGAAACTAGAGGTGTACTTGTGGCATACACTAGGGCGATCAAGGACAAGCACATTGGCGCCAAGATCCAAGTAAGGATAGTGGGAGGAGATTCGGAGCACCTCATGGTTTTGATAGGGTTGCACCAAGAATCATCCCTTAGCCCATTTTTATTTATCTTGGTGATGGATGCATTGACGCAACAAATTCAAGGTGAAGTGTCATGCAGTGTTATCAAAGGCGCGCTTAAGCCCTAAAGCGAGGCTCAAAACGTGTTGAGCGCTTCGCCTCGCTTTATGTGCGCTTCAGTGTCGTCATCAAAGTTCTAAGACAAACTTTTACTTGTCAATGAGCCTCTTATGAAGAAGTGACACTAAACAATTGATATTTCACTTTATCATAAAAAAATCGATTTCTTTGGTCATTATAATTATTAGTCTTGGACTAACATACACATTTTATTTTTTCTCCCTTTGAGCCTTTTTTCATTAAGGCCCACGCTTTATATGCGCTTAAAGCCCCCACAGACCTTAGAGCTTTTTTGCGCTTTTCGCTTTTAATAACACAGGTGTCATGGTGTATGTTATTTGCAGACAACAAAGTTCTGATTGACGAGACTCACGATGGAGTTAACACTAAGCTGGAGGTTAAGAGCAAACCCTGGAGTCTAAAGGATTCAGGTTGAGCAAGACCAAGACACAATACTTGGAGGTGCAGGTTCAGTGATATAAGGCATGAGGCTGACATAGAAATGAGGCTTGATACATAGGCCATCCAAAGAGAGGAAGTGTCAAGTATCTTGGGTCTATTATTCAGGGAAATTGGGAGATTGATGAGGCTGTCACTCACCATATTGGTGCAGGATGGATGAAATGGAGGCTCACATATGAAGCCTTGTGTGAAAAGGTGACACCAAAACACAAGGCAAGTTCTACACAGGGGTGGTTAGACAAGTTATATTGTATGGGGTCGAGTGTCGGGGAGTCAGAACTCTCACGTGCAAAAGATACAAGTGGCGGAGATGAGGATGTTGCAATGGATGTGTGAGCATACTAGGAGAGATAGGATTAGAAACGAGGATATTCAAGACAAGGTGGGAGCGGCTTCGGTGAATGACAAGATACGAGAAGCGAGGTTGAGATGGTTAGGGCAAGCTATGGATGGTTTTAGGAGAAGTCGATGTAGATCGAATAATTATTGGGGAGAGATTAGACAGAACATGTCATAATTTCAGCTTATTGAGGACATGACCATAGATAGGAGGTTGTGGAGGACACGAATTATGGTCGAAGGTTAGTAGGTAGGACTGCATTGTCTTGTTGTTCCTCCATACAAGTGGTCGTAGTATTACTCTTATAGTTTCTTGTCCGTCAACTTTTTTTACTATTCGTTGTTTCTTCTACTTCGACAATCAAATTGTTTTGTTGCAGTATTGTTACTATTTGTTGGTTTTGTTATTATTTGTTGTTTCTTGTACTTCTATTATTTCTTTTCCTGGACTAGTTTAGACTTGTTTTCTTGAGCCGGTCAATCGAAAACATTCTCTCTACCTCTGAGGTAGGGATAAGGTTTGCGAACACCATACCTTCCCCAAACCCCACTTTGTGGGACTACACGGGGTACATTGTTGTTGTCGTACAAATAGTATGCATCTTAATTTGTTCCCTTGTAATTATATGGTAATTATGTACTTCATCAAAAAAATATGGTAATTATGTATGGATTTTATTTCTTTTCTAGGGCATTTAAACTTAGTTATTTATACTCCAATAGCTCAAGGGAATGATCACGCAGTGTTTTCTCTTCTCATTTTTCTAAATGTTATAAGAGCATTGGTGAGAAACACCTGGGAAAGAAAACACAATCATGTAGTTGGTTGACTTTCTAGGGTTGTTTTGTGTCACCACCTTCTCTTTCAGTGTGGTTCGAAAACCAACATCATCATAGAATTCCCAACTCTTCAGTGAGCAAACCTCAGTCAGCCTCTCTAGAAGCAAACCTTACACGCACCCTCATGCGTAGTCAAAACGAATTTTCTAGCCAGCGCGTTAACTCCATATGCCAACATGTGTGAGCTTTTCTGGTCAAATTTCTGACAAACTTCTTTCTGTTGTGGTGTCACCAGGTCATTCTAAGGCTACCTAACTAAGTACCTCCTCATTCCAACCACCAAAACACAACCCTCCAGTGACCATCTTCAATTTCCAGACAAAATCTGGCTTTACAAAAAGCTAATATTCAGGTTTACGACTCAGAGCAGATTTTACTATATTGTTTGACATTATATCACCCTGGTAACATCTACTTTATCATATATTTGGTATTTAATTAGGTTTTGCTTTGACTCATCATCTTGTCTCTCAGAATAAATACTTTTTGTGCTAAAATTATGGTTTCCAAAATCCTGAACTATACTTTTTTTTGAGAATTAAAAAAAAAATAGTTCAGAATCCTGAACTATTCTATTACTACCACAAAACCTTTGATAGGTAGTGCAAACTATTTATCTTGGTCTTAGTCTATTCAATTATGGGGCAAGGGGAAAGGTGTCCAAAGTCACTTAATTAAGCAGGCTAAGGATATTAATGAAAAGGATAAGGGAGAATTTAAAAAGATTGATGCTCAATTGTGTAGCCTATTGTGGAAATCTATTGATTCGGAGTTGATGCCTCAGTTTGGTCCATTCCGAACTTGCTTTTTAATTTGAAAAAGGCTCGTGGGTTATACACAAATGTCTCATTTTTATAATGTGATTTCTTAGTTGACTAACGTTAAAAAATAGGATTTGGAGATGTTCACCTGTCTTAGACAAGTTCAGGTAGTGATGGAAGAGTTCAATGAGTTGATGCCTGCTACTACAAATATTGACAAAGCAATTGGGGTAACGTCGTAAGACGTTTTTTCTTTTGATACTTTCCAGGCTTCCATATTAACTTAACTAGGTGCGAACCAAATTTTGGCTAGCCTTATTGTCCCTACTGTGGATTATTTTCTCAATTATTACGGCTTGTTGAACCACCTATTTCATCCCGTCATACAGTGACATCAACCAACTCTTTTGTTCAAGTGTCTCAGACAGGAAATTCGAATGGATATCATTCTTGGAAAAGTTGGTCAAGATGTAGCTATTGTAACAAATTGGGCAATACTTTTGAAGTGAGCTATTATTTACATGGTCAACCTTCCAGAATGCTCATGTTGCTCGGACTGAATTCACTGATAACAGAAGAGATATCGGTGCTACTCAACCGATGTCAAACGGTACCTTATGTCCACTAATATTACCTCCTTTGAAAGTCAAACCTATTACCTACTTTACACTCTCCTCAACTAAGAAACTTGGC